TTCTGATTTGAGTAGATGTTCTTTTGAATAAGGAGAGAAGATTTAAGTTTTGGAATAGCTCGTTAAAGGGAGACGATTTCTGCGCTTTTTTAATTTCTTGTTTAAATCAAAATCCTTTCTGTTTTTTTTTATCGATGGTTTTTAAAATTGTTTAGAGTGGAAACAAATTATTGTAGTTTAATTGCAAACGGAATTCATAACTCCTTGTTGTTAAGAAGAAGAAGAAAAAAACTTACTTTGACATAAAAAGTTTCAAAAACCGTTATTTTTATTACGCAACCATAAGACTACAATTTTCATGCTATGAAACTGAAATAAAGACTTTTATTTGATCATCACATTCAGATATTCTATCTAATGGACCTTTTTAGTTTGGAGGTTGATTAAGAGGTATTGAAAAAAAAATCATTGAAATAAACTGCAGTGTTCCTATGAAAAATATATTAATTTAAATCCCAGGGGTGATTGTTAGCCCAAGTCAAAATTCCGGAAAATGTCTCGAGTTAAAAAAAAAAGTTTAAATTGAAAAATTAGAAAAACATTTAAGCAAGGTTATTTCCTTTTTCTCAATATTTCTTAGTTTACTTAAAATATTTTTAAGATTTTACACATACCTATACCATTTACACATACCTGTGATGACCTGGATAATTAATAAAATTTACAAATATGTCTTTCTTTCTTGAGTTTATGATTATAACAACTATTTACTGATAAAAAATGAATATTGATCATGAATATAAGCTTATAAAGTGTATCTTTGGCTCTCCCTTACAAACAAATAAAATAAACTGTGTTTTTAAGTTCCACCTTTGGAAATTTGATTTCCGGAAACTTCTGTGATCAATGATTTTTTGAAACGTCTAGGCCTTGGATCTCCGGAAACTTCTGGATCACTGTAAGCGAAAAGTCCGGAAATCCGGATTTTTTCCGGAGCACAATCAGCCCTGAAATCCCAACTTTTTGTACAAAATAATTACTAAATATATTTATTAATGAGTGATTTCCTTTGTAATGAATATCTTATACAAAGAAAAATTGATATAGAAAGTAGGCAAATTATTAAAATTCGAAATAGAATAAAAAATAAACTACAATAAGTGAAATGAAACTTTACATTTTAATTACAATTTAAAAAAAAAAAAATTAATGTGGCAGAAGAGGAAAATTATTAATTGGTTTTAATAATTTTTCTCCAAGTAGAAAAACATAAAGTTTTTTTATTATTAAAAAAAAAAAAACCTTTACGCTGTTTGTCCATTTTAAAACTCAAATAATACATCATGATAAGATGGTATATTTAATTTAAAATTGTCTAGCTTCTAATTTAGAGCAATTACTGTTGTTTCCTTTTACTCGAAAGTGAAAGAGCTGTGCTTTGGAGAACCCCATAAATAATCTATTGTAGAGATGTAACGAACACTGATTTGGCCGAATAACAACATTATTAAAAAAAAAATCATTATAATGTTTTAATAGTCATTTATTGAAAAAGAATGAAAACCTTGCTTTATTATGGGCAGTGGCGTAGTGAGCTTAACTCGCGCCCGGGGCACAATACCTTTTTAGCGCCCCCCCCCAACTCGAAAACCATATAATATTATACGTAAAATATACTCGCAAATCAATAAATATGTATATAATCATCTAGAATTAGTTCAAAAGATACCTATTATTTATTTTATATATTTATAAAGAAATATTTTAAAAACACGCAGTTTTAAAACAATAAAAAGTAAATATTTATTATCTCTAAGGAGATACGTATTTTTAACAATAGTATGATTATAATACATTTATAAAACTAAATACTATGTATAAAGTTTCCTTACTTTTGATGAAGCAAATTTATTAATAATATCATCAAAGGTGATCATTTCAAATTTTTCTCCTTCCACACTTAAAAATGCTAGGTCACTTAGGCGATCTTGTCCCATCGTTGGTCGTAGATATGTCAAAATTAATTTTAATTTGCTGAATGAACGTTTGCAGCTAACAATTGATACTGTGATAGTCAGGAGTATTTGAAGTGCCACTCTCAGGTTTGGAAAAACATCTTCTCCATACGGGATTATAAAAGTAAGAAATTCTAATGGAGTTTTGGGTTCAATTTCTTTTCTACTGCGGAGTAACATTTTGCAGTCACATATTTCGATAAAGAGTTCTATTCCATTGAAATCTGTATTATAAAATTCACTCAAATGTTTGCAATTTTTTTCAAGGTCGTTATCAACATTATCCTCGTTTAATAAATTTTCAAAGTCTAGTAGAAATCCAAATTTGAAATTAAGATCACTTTATCGTGTACATATTTCTTGTTGGAGACGATCAANATTATAAAAAATAATAAAAATTAGAAAAATTTAACAAAAAATTTAAAAAATGCTTTAAAATGCAAAATACGCCCCAAAATTTAAAGAAAATGCCCTATAAATCTCAAAAAATGCTCTAAAGGACAAAAAATGTCCAAAAATGCAAATGTCATCAAAATCCGGGCCTTACTTATCAGACATGCTTTAAAAAATGCTGCGCTATCATAAAAACGATTCAAAACGAAAGATAATATAAGAAAACAGAAAAAATAAACCTCAATTCTCGAAAGAAAAGTTTAATGCTGAACATCTCAGTTCTCCAATCACCGTATTTTCAAGAAAAAAAAATTAATAGAAATCCTCCTAATTGCCGCATCATAATGAAAACATTGATGAAATTTTTTTTTTTACAAAAAATTGAACGTTAAAAATTTCAATTTAACATCTCCGTATATTTAGAAAAAAGTGACAATTACAGAATAAAATTTATTAGAAACGCTGATAAAAAGAAAAGTAAATAAAAAAAAAAAACCAAAAGAGAAACAGAAAAAAAAAATGTTCTAGTTCATAAAACAAAAATTAAGCGTTGAACTGGTTATCTATATTAGCATATAGGAAAAAAGTGATTAAAAGACAATAAAGTTCATGAAAAACTATAATAAAGGGTTGTCACTGAATTCTGGAAAACAAACTTCCTGTGTTTTCCCCTCTACATATTATGTTCAAGATATTAAAGAGGAAAAACAGAATTAATGCGCGCTTTTGTGTAAGCCATATTGGGGTAACTATACTAGTTTTAAATGCTGAAAAAACTTTTGAAATGAGAAAAAAAAAGGAACAGCTGAAGATGCTTAAATAATAAGTAAATGAAATACAGTACAGAACCCTTTATCCGGAAATCAGAAAACCGGAAAGAGATTCGATAAATTTTCCCGCAATTTTTTTAAAAATAAATTTTTTTTCCTCATAAGATTTTAGGATTTTTCTTACTTTTTTGAAAGATGTTTACCTTACCATCATTTCAGAAATAATCATTAGTGTATTACCTCATCGTTTTTTCTTATTTTTAAGTTTATTTCCAAATATTTTTTTTTTTTTTTAGTTGGGTTTAACACTAAAAAAACGGCTTTTTGTAGCGATTCAGAAAACCGGAAAAATCAGTTATCCGGAATAGCGATGGTACCGATCGTTCCGGATAATCGGTTCCCTACTGTAGTTAAGTATAGTTGGAAATCATCCATAAATATCCCATAGATTACCCATTGAAGTAGTCATCATTTTCTAAAAAACGAAAATATGAAACAAAATTTCGTTATTTTAGGTGATTTTTAAATTCTTTGTATTTTCGAGGTTATCTCTTTTCTCCCTGTGGAGCATCCTGCAGTAAAAAAGAAGAAAAAAAACCTTAAATTTTTATAACAAAAAGAACGTCACTATTGTCTTGGTAACAAAATTGACCAGAAAATAACATTAAAAAAAAAAATCAGCAGTATAAAACTTGTGGTTCAGTATAAAGTAGTCTAGATTCAATTCTTCAAATTTCACTTTTTCATTTGTTTTCCAGGACATGAACTTCCAACCTATGTGCAAGTTTTAGAACTTATCGAATGCGGGCAAAACTTTTTTGTAATATTTTTCAGCTAAAATTACGAATTCAGATTATTCTTTATTAAATCTATTCCAAAAATAAGATTTGTCGAAAAATACTTTCAAGCAAAAATGCCGAATATTCGTCGATTCCCTTATCCACTGATATTGAAAACCTCTGTGGCAGAAATTTTTCTGCGACAAACCTCTCAAGCACTAATATCTTCCTGCAAAATGCTTTTAATAACAAATATGCACGTCACTATCTAAATTTAAAGTAACAAATTGTTTACAAAAAAACCTATTTGAATAAAATAAAATTGTATTTAATTTTTAAATGAATATACTATGTAATAATTTTTTTTTATTTCTAATATCATGGGCGAGATTCTCACAATTTACTAAACAAGAAAACACACTAATTATTTCCTTTTTCACAATTCGTAAATCATCATCACATAAAATTTTTTTTAAAAACGTGTAAATCGTAGCAGTGACTACCGAAAAAAAGGATCGACGTCAAAATCACGCGAATTAAATATACCGCGTGTATTAACGAGAATATAGCCGCAAAACAAGCATGTCAAAGAATGATTGAATCCATGATTCGAATTTCGCGTGCCGTAATAAAATCGCTACACTTCAAAAATTCACGAAAATATAAATACAGCAATGAAAGACATCGGGATTTCGAATAAATAAAGCAAAAATTCGTAGTAATAACTGTTTTAAAGAACATTTCAAATACCTCATGGATTAACGAGAATATCGGCGCAAAATGAGCGCGTCAAAGAAGAATTTCTGGAGAAAAAGAAATTCTTTCAACATTTCTGCAGATAAGAAATCTTTTACTTGTCTATCTATCTTTTTCATTCTTCTCAAATAAATATAGAAAAATCACGAAAACTTCCTTTCCCTCCGAGGTGCGAAAAAGGCATCTTTTAATCATAATTTCAGAGATAAAAAATTTCTGCAGAAAAACCAAAATTCTTCACTACTTCTGAAAAACCGAAATTCTTTCTGTAAATATTCTGTGAGAGAGTCGCAGCAGTTCTGCCACGGGTTTGAAAACAAATGTGCGAAAATTAAGAAGATCAAGAATTCATGAAACATTTCATTTTATTGTTTACCAATCACAAGTAATCGTACAATGGAAGCAGTTTGATTACATTTGTATTGAAGCACAAAAGCTTAGTTTTTAACACTACTAATGCCAAGCAATCTTCAGAGATAAAAAGAAAATGGTTTTTATTAGGCTTAACCTTTAGGCAGAAAAAAAAAGCTTTGTTTGGCAAACAGAAGTGTTAAAAACCATTTCACTTTTTGTTGCATAAATGTTTATAATCAACTGTTGACATCACTTAAATATCACACTGAGTTAAAATATATCAATAATTGAAGTGAAAGTAAATTGGGGGATGATAAATAGAATTTCCCACAATCTGGTTGGTATAAATGAACAATCTTAAAAAACAAATGCTGAGGAGGAAAATAAGTGACACAATATATCTTTTTTTACGTAAAAAATATTTCACACACAGTTAACAATATCTTTGTATGTCAGTTTATTGCAGTTAAAAACAATCCGACATAATTCACACAACAAATTTTTTGAATGGTACACTAATAAAGCCTACAAATTAACAAAAACCATTAATTTTAATTAGCTTTGACAGGTAAAAAAGAAATATACCTAGTCAATTATTTTAATCAAGAACTACTACAAAAATCCTACTATGATAAAATTTTACTTTTTCTTGCTACAAAATTAGCAAGAAACACTTCCTAGCAGTTCTTGCAAGCACATTTTTGTCGTTAAAATCATATGCATGGGCAACAATATTGTTGCCTCGAAATATGTCTGGAAAGTTAGTAACGAAAAATAGGTATTTTTTTCTGCATCGAAATCCGTGCATTTAAAAAAAATTTTTTGTACTAATCTTATTCTACGTGTTGGTTAGGTTTTTCAAATGAATAATTGCTTTTTTTAAACTTTTATTATGTAATTTATTAATAGATGTGAGGATAACAATTATAATGCATATCTCTTATCTGGCACCATAAACTCTGGTGTTTTTTCATAGATGGACAATGTAATTGTTCATCAATAAAACATAAGTTTTTGCTCTTATAAAATAAACTTTATTCATAATTTTTAATATATTTTGTTAGGTCTCTGCATTTTGATCTGCATGTAGAATCAATATTATTTTGGCTCTTTTTTTTCACTTAATTTTAATAAATTCTTATCTTCAATCATTATGGTACCTTATTAGTTTTAGGGTGTAATAGATGGAAGTTTTATTCTTCTCAAATTTGTCTACCATATTAATATTTTTGACCACTAAATGCATACCTAGGTGGTCGTATTGGACCACTTAAATTACATTGCTGGTGTAAACCCTACTTATTATCAACTGTGCTTCATAATTTAAAAACTGAATAAATTTAATAAGTGCTCACACTTTTATTATTACTTAAATCACTCACTCGACGACTTTACATTATAGTTGTCGTCTGACTTTATTTTTAAATGATTTTTCCATTGGCAAAGCGGAAGCCAAATTATAGTTTCAATTCTGTGAATTCAGTTACTAAACCTGACATAAATTCCAGAACATAAAAAAGTACTCCTGTCGTTCCTTCTATTAAAGGAACAATAAAAATGAAATCACTATTACAAAAATTATCAAATAATTCTATTTTATTTCTGTAGTCCACGAGCAAAATAATTATTAGGTAAATTATAGTCTCAATAAATTAAGAAATATAAACAGAAATTATTAAATAATTAAAAAGAAAAAAAGACACTATCTTTTAAAAACAATAGTAAAATAAGAATAAAATCCATAATTAACTCTAAAAGAAAGAATTAAGTTGCAACAACAAAGTAGAACAATAATATTTAATCATTCAATAACTTTAAGAAAAAAGGTTTCTAAGAAAATTATATAAGAAAATATTTTCATTCAAGATAAATATTGTATGCTATACTGTTAGACACACAATTATCAGTATTCAAAATAAAATTTTGCTAGAAATTTTATAAATTCTTCATTGAAAAAGCTTAATATGGAAATTTCATATCAGACTACAACACTCAATTCACTTTTGGAATAATGAGATTTGATTTAAAATTACGTTAGCCAATAGTAATAATAGAAAAAAATGTTATAGTGATATTTTAATTCTAAAGCTTTTAAAGTTTGACAATTTGTAAATAAATACTAAATGCTTTATTACACATCTTAATCACTGAAAAAAAAGTTAATGAACCTATTTTAACAGCAAATTAACTATCGTAACATTAATAAAACAATGTCTCCTAAATAGTCCAAACGCTTTACAATGAGAATCAATCAACATTAATTGGGATAGCAACAATACTTTTCCGTAATCACAGAGATAATTTCTATAGCTATGTAGAAAAATTATTATGGTATAAAATTAAACACAAAGTTGATATACCACAGGTTGAATTTTTCTCAAACAGAAAAATAAGCCTCAATTTGTTTAATTGTATAAAGATTTAATTTCAATATCAGAAAACTAATTTTTAAAAAAATCTTAGGTGGCTGAAACAGTTAAATGCAATTTTTCTTTTTTAAGAGAAAAGACAAAAACAATACTCCATATTTTCCTGACTTTTTAAATAAAGTAGAATTGATTAAAAAGAGCACTTTTAAAAATGCAAGTTTAACTTCAAATAAAAAAAATTATTGGTTCATAGCCACAAAGCATTGTACCAGAATTGAACACATTTAGTATGCCACCCATTAATTAAGTTGCGTTAGGAAGAAAAGAAAAAAGATTTGACTGTTTGGTTTTTATATATAACATCTAGGACACAAGATACTAAGTCTTAGGTTTGTTGAGATTGCGACTCAAGTTTTTTATGTACAAAAGAGAAGTTATTTCTAAAATGAAAAAAAAATCCTTCTATGTATGGTAGGGGACGACGTAAGTGGCTGGAAAGTATCCCCGTCTCGATCCGATCTCGCCTTCCCACCAATTCTGATCCGATCGATCCATCACGGTTATGATGTCTCCACGACGAAATTCTAATTCACCAGCTTCTTGTGGGTGGAAATCATACATGGCTTGTACCAGAAACTGAAAACAAAAAAATTCACATAACGCTTCCAGCAGATTTTACAGAATAATATAAATTTCACGATAACTGTTACATAACTTACTAAATATTTTAAACATACGGAATATTAGGGATTTTTTATAATCATCAAAATAGAAAAACTGCAATATTTTCCAGTTATGATTGACATTAAACATACTTGAAATGTTATGCATTATGTGTACTCATAATTTCGAACCTTAAAAGGCATCAAAGAAATTTTTTTAAAATTAATTTAATAAGAGAGTTCTGAATAAAAATAAATTGAACATTTTATAACAAAAAATTGTTTTGAAGTGATTTCTAGGAATGAGGTTCGCTTTATGATGTATTAGTAATACTTTATTTAAATATTCAAGCAGGTAAGTAATTATCTGTACAAAAATTCTATTTCAATAGGGATTTTTGCTAAGGCTAAATTGTACAAAAACCAGGAGAATTTTAACCACTGGAAAAATCCAGTAAAGTTGGCAACTATGAATTCAATAATTTGTTGGAGAACTCCATTGAAACATAACAAATTTAGAGGAAAACAATAACTAGGCAGAAAGTTATGTACACATTATCTACAAAAATATAAATTTTGACTAACTTTCTTGCAAAAAAAAAATTTAATAAATAAATACAAATAATTTTTTTAATGATTTACAAAAGGGGGAAGGAACTTCCCCCCTAACTTTAGGGTAATATTTGCATGTAGAATTTATCAAACTTCTCCCAGTTTCATAATTTAAGGAATAAATGTTGCTATTAGTTTTAATTTTTTGTCTTATTCACATTCGGGCAGGATGTGTGAAAATTAAGAAGATCAAGAATTCATGAAACATTTCATTTTATTGTTTACCAATCACAAGTAATCGTACAATGGAAGCAGTTTGATTACATTTGTATTGAAGCACAAAAGCTTAGTTTTTAACACTACTAATGCCAAGCAATCTTCAGAGATTAAAAGAAAATGGTTTTTATTAGGCTTAACCTTTAGGCAGAAAAAAAAAAAAGCTTTGTTTGGCAAACAGAAGTGTTAAAAACCATTTCACTTTTTGTTGCATAAATGTTTATAATCAACTGTTGACATCACTTAAATATCACACTGAGTTAAAATATATCAATAATTGAAGTGAAAGTAAATTGGGGGATGATAAATAGAATTTCCCACAATCTGGTTGGTATAAATGAACAATCTTAAAAAACAAATGCTGAGGAGGAAAATAAGAGACACAATATATCTTTTTTTTACGTAAAAAATATTTCACACACAGTTAACAATATCTTTGTATGTCAGTTTATTGCANAATACTATAATGAGTAGAATAGTTATCACAAAAGTAGTATTATAAAATATCGATATGACAGTTTTAAATAAAATTAAATTAATCAATTGGAATTTTGAAACATTTTTGGCTGTATCTCATCTATTAAAAAAACGTATGATGTGCATAATTATATCTTATCTATTTATTTTTATCTTTCAATAATTACACTGTAAGCTGTTATAGATTTAGAAATAAAATTATAATTGTATACTAGTAATAAAACTGTATACTAATAATCTAACATGCTATATACCAAAAAGAAAAAAACCTTCTATTAAACATTTTTTTCTCATTTTTTATTCTTTTAGTCCTGATTCACACACAGTCCGTAAAACAATAAAGGGAATACTTTAAATAACTTTTGATGAAATAATTTACCAAATTAATTATTTTAAGATAAAAAATCAAATGTATTTTCTTTAAAAACACATACAACCATCCACCTTGCACACTGTTATTAAACTTGTTCATCATATAAAAATTAATTTATTTACTAATGGTCTTTAAGAAATACAAATTTTTCAACTACTTTAAATGTGTGAACAAATGATTCTTTGAGATAGTGAAATAGGAGAAAATAAGATTAATGGATTCAAATATCTCTCTTTTAACAATTGGGACCCTATTTTTCGGAATTTATCCTCTAGTTTTCAAGGTAAAAAGTCTAATCCCGCCACAAAAAAAGTTTTTATTTATGTGTTGTTGTCAAGGTTTAAGACTGAATGGATTAATCCATGGTTTAAACTGTCCTGCCCAAAACCCTTTTATTCAAATTATGTTTAATTTTGAAAAAAATATTGTGAAAAATAAAAGGTTAATTTTGAACAAGAAACAAAATGAAGTTTTTGTTATATTAAAAAAGTTTATTATTATTTTTAATATAGCATTATTCATTCTTTTGCAAAAACATAACTTATCAGTATTATAAGCATATTTATTCTCATTTAAAGGATAAGGTACTCACTTTTGTTGTTGAATGAATTAACCCACAGCTTTAAAAATGTATAAATTTTTACCTCATATATTATTTTCTTTTAATAAGTTAATGCAAATTGCATAAAAAGTATAAAATATTTATTAATACATGTAATTATTATGTGTACAATGATTACAAAAATAGAAAATTTAACCTTTTACCAATGCAGGGGCGATTGTGTGATCAAAAATCCGGAAAATTTCTAGAGTAAAATCATTAATAACGCATTACAAAAAATTAATGTCTTTAGAGATGCCAAGTATAAATTCTAGTTCTTGTATTTTTAAAATAAAATATACAAGAATTTTTACTCATAAATGTGATTGGTGATATCTTAAAACTTCTGGACCTTGGATTTCCAGAAACTTCTGGATCCCGGTTAGCGAAAAATCTGAATTCTTTTTCGAAGCATAATCATCTCTGCCAGTGTTCAAGGTTTTGGATAATTTACGACAGTAAAATCCACATGTGCTGTCCAAAACCAGTTTAAGACATCCAAAACCCCAAACCTGGTTTCTAATACAAAAGAGTTTATTAAAAGAAAACATTCCTAGGTTTTGAGAGGTTAAAATGTTGGTTAAAGACGCAAAATAACTTGTTACCTCTTCAGGATGCATGTCCTTTAACTTAATATCTTGAGAGCGACTGACAGAAGCTGATCTGTGGTATTCTACTAGTTCATTAAGAGAATTAAACTTCACAACCCAGAGAAAGAATTTACCCTGCGTATCTCTCAACACTTTGAAATGCTGGACAGCATCTCCACATCTGAAACAACTAAATATTAATCCCTCATAGAAAAGTTTATATAACCAAATACAGTACCAACTAAGAACCAACAACCCATAACAAATAGCATTGAAAAAAAAATCTTTCTAAATCTTTTGTTTAAATTAAATTTTTTCCAAACATGCAATTTAAATATAAAGTAATCCATATGAAAGAATACATTATTGAAAATGTCAAAATGTAATCAATTATTACAATAAAATATTAAAGATTACCTAACATTTTTAGAAACAATATAAAAGATGCATGTAAAATAAACATTTCATTCATACTTTTTCCTGAATATCACACATAAAGTCAGTTTTTAAAAAAAACTAAAATGAGTAAAATTTAACAATTGAACGGATATTTTCCACAAAAAAAAATTGATTAATAATAATACAGGGTTGCCACTCAAATCTCGAAACAAAAAATTCCCTTTGTTCTCCCCGTACATATTATACACAACATATTAAGAGGAAAAATACAATCACTGTGTTCTTGTGTGAGCTGTAATTATAATTGCTGAAAACATACATACTTAAAACAAATGAAGCTATACTTAAAACAAATAAAGCTATAGCAAATGAAATAGTTTAATACAGCTGAAATATCATCCTTAAATATCCCATAAATTGAACATTGAGAGGTTAAATTTTTTTTAAAAGACGAAAATAAGAAACAAAATTGCCTGCATTTTCCCTGTAATTTTAAATGATTTTTTAATTTCCTGTATTTTCCAGGTTTTTCTTGTGGAGTGGCAACCGTAAATTTGGAATGTTAAGTTAGTCCACATGATCAGCAAAAAGTTCTAGAGATTTTTCAGTTTGCTTTCAGAGGGATCAAGAACCTCTTTCAAAAGTTGCACAAGAATCCTTCCCACCACATGGCACCACATTAAATATGGTGCCTTCTTACATTACAGAAATACAAAATAAGATGAAGTACAGTAACCTGAATTTTGCAAACAAAATTAAGATGAACAAATAGGCTAAATACAGAAAAAAATTAATGTACATAATTAAAAAAAAAACATACTGCTAAGTTATAATATATTACTTATTTAAGTGTAACGTGCATACTGGGTCTGTGAAAATGCATTTACAAATATATGTCACATGTAAGTAATATTTCAAAATGGAATAAGAATTTTTTAGACAAAAAAATTTAGAAATAAATCTTGTAGTTATCTGTATGTCGATCAGATTTTATTTTAAGATCTATATTATAGACAGTGCCTGTTTCCATCAACTGCAAAAAAAAAGAGACTTTCTGATATTTTAAATTTTTAGTTTCATGAAATTGAGATTAAATTTATAATTACCAAAACTTTATTTTATTTAATACTAAAGTATTAATAGTAAATACTATAATGAGTAGAATATCAAAAATTTATTTTACTTAATATTTATGAATATTATTTTGCTTGCTAATATTCCATTTGATAAACATTTTGTTAATTACAAAAGAATTGTATCATGACCCTATAACTATTCAATTATGAAATGAGAATGCATATTGTATACACTGGTTGCTCATCAAAATCTTAAATTATGCACTTAAAATGTTTAGAAAAATGAATGTTTAAATATTTTTTATTTAATTTCAAAAGCAAGATGTATAATAAAGACAAAAGTACATTGTAAGGTATATAAGAAATTCATACACTGAAAAAATATAAATAAACATACCAAGTGCAACATAGTGCATTTCGTTTCACTAACTTCAAAACAAGTTATGTGTTCATTTACAATTTAAACTAATCACATGACTTTTCATGCTTTACATTTTACTAAGAATCGTTTCAGTATGCAATTTTTTATCATTATGCAATTCGTTATAGATTTAAAAGGCATAAAATGACTAAAATAGTTATTTACATAACAAATTGATTTTATTAATACTTTTTGTAAAAATAAAGCAATATCTTTCCTCATCATGTAATATATCTCATGTTTATATTTAATAAACATAAGTATGTATGTAGATTATACTTGAAAAAAACTACTTATCAAATTGTTCTTTCCCTCCCTCTTTTTTCACGAAAAAACCCATGTCGGAAAAGGTCTTAAAAAACCCAGGATTTCGTGAAATCTGAGTAAAGTCAATCATTTTACATCAAAACTGTAATTCCAGTCGTTTAATCTGTTATAGTGCAGTCTAAACAGCTCGCACCCCCCCCCGGGACAGAAATGTTTTCGGCCCCTTATTACGAGTCATTAACAAATATAAAGGAATGCAATTTTAACAAATGTAATAATTTTCGATAGGGTGCATAGCCAAATCTTTCAACAAAAAATAAGCACCTTAGTACTTTTTAAGCACTCAAAAAATATTTTCAAGCACTACATACATTAACAAAATGCAAAATAATTTTCAAAGACAATAACATGATCATGATAAATAATTAGTTTTGATAAAGAGTTATTTTTTTATTATAATAGCTATTATAAAGTGATCAAGAGATTTTTCGGTTAGATATCAGAGGGTGGAAAATGAAGCCTGAAATTGAGAATATCATGCAAAATGCAGCACAGAAGAGAGCAAGAATCTTAACGAACCAAACTCAGTAGGGGCACATGCAAGTATTTCATCAAACATGTAAAATGATTGGCTCTTTCATACACTACCGACCGACTGTACGTCTCAGTGGATAGTGGTTGAATGAAACGTGGAAACTTGGAATAGAACAATATGAAAACCACGCTTCTGCATAATACATGGCAAAAATAGACAGGGTAAATAAAAAAAATCTCCTTTCCAAAAAGGGTAAATGAAGCACTTTTTAAAAACACCCAATGAAAAAAGCACCTTTAAGGTCTTTTAAAAAACGAAAATATGCATTTTTAAGCACTTTTTAAAAATTCTACGCACCATGTTAAAAAATTTAAACACATTTTGATTACCACAAAAAACTTAACCCACATAAAAACTTCATTTTAACATAGAAAAATAGATTTCGTTTGCCTTTTTAAGTTTTTCTGGTGATAAACTATTCAAATTATTGTTGCTTGCATGATAATCAATGACTATTTGTAGAAAGAAAAACGAAATACACACTTTATACAATAGAATATATTTATTTTAAGAAATATATATGGCAATTTCGCTTATCCTTAGGATTCTTTTTAAAAATGCGATTTATAGAAAGTAAGATTCCCAAGCCCCCCGGATGTCTGGGTACTATACGGGTGCACCTACGCGTAGAGACCGATGTGTTTTATTAATCAGAATGGCTCGTTGTAAAATAGTGCAAGAATTAAAAAGGCCATATTTATTAACAATCAAATTTAATAATATAGAACACATAGCTGCCATCATGGATAGAAAAAAATCTAGTAGATTTTACAAAATATAAATTTCATGATAATTGTTGCGTAATGCACTAAATATTTTAAACATAGGGAATTTTTTTAATTATCAAAATAGAAAAACTGCAATCTTTCCCCGTTATGATTGTCATTAATAATACTTGAAATGTTATGTATTATGTGTACTCATAATTTTGAATATTAATAGGCATTTAATTCATTAAAGACAGTTAAAAGATTTTAAAAATTAGTTTAAAAAGAGAGTTCAGAATAAAAATAAACTGAACATTTTAGAACAAAAAAAGTATTGAACTGATTTTTATAAATGAGCCTCGTTTCATTATGTATTAGTAATACTTATTTAAATATTCAAGCAATAATCTGTGCAAAAATTCTATTTCAATGGGAATTTTTTAGAAGACTTGCTCAATTTTAGGAAATATCCTAAAATGTACAAAAACCAGGAGAGCTTTGATTAAATCAGTAGACAAGGAGAAAGTTGCAAAATCCAGTAGAATTGGCAGCTATGAGAACAATATTTTAACGGTGTGATATATTTGTTAAGCTTCGCAATAAATCTTCCATTTCAATCCACACAAGTGATACATAATCAGAATTAGTGTGAATGATTACAGTGCCCTCTGTTGGTAGGGCAGATATTCTTAATAGTAGAATATTCTTAACCCATAAAAGTTAAGACTTTGGCTATCGATTACTATGAGTTGTCGAGACCCATTTTCATAGCCTTTTGGATTAAAACGCATTGATGAAGAAGGGGACTTTTCATAAAAGACAAAACATTTCAGCTTAAAAATTAGATTGATTTAAATTTATGGTTTGCAACAAATAAAAATATCAAACATAATAATTTGATTTTTAAATGAGAGAAAATATCATAATTGCATGACAGAAGTACATTTTTGTTAGAACTACATACTAAGACAACACTTCAGTCAGTTAAAAATAAAACACTATTCTGTGAATGATCAAAATTGGGTGTGGTCGACCGGTGAATGTTCGAAATATATGCTAGGTCCTGCTAAGTTCCCGGTGGTTTGCTCGGTATGTCCTACATCAATGTTTTTTTTAAGGTTCGGTGCTCGGTATGATGACCTACAACGATTTCTTTAAACGGCCCAGAATGCATTTAATTGGCAGCCCGAACATTGACGTTTCTCCAAATCTATTCTCAGCAGATATTAAAATATCAAATAAATATAATAATTCCAATGAATAAATTAACATCAAATTGGATATAACAAATACTTCGGACAATCATGTGATTGTTGACATTCATGGGTGGAAGTAGACATTCTCTCGGTCATTCACATTAACACTACAAACAAGTCAATAAAAGCAAAATAATACTTACTTTACTGAGAGAGAAAAATCGCCAGGAGAGCTTTCACTGACTCGAATCAAAAAGGCTCCTTCATGTTTGTTCAAGAGTAATTTTTCAGCATCAGCTCTGGTTATTCTACCATAATACCAACTGTAATAGAATTACACTGATTTTAAAGAAATGCAATTAAATAAGAGGTAACAACAGAGGAAGCAAAAAAATATATAAGGATGGCAAATGGTATCCAATAAAAGATTTTGTACATGAATCTTAGTGTTCTCAGTATGTACAGGGTATCTGCTACATTTTTGATTTTCAAATTCATGACTTAAGAAGTTACTATTTCTCTGACAAAAACGTAACAATAAATTTAAAAAAGCAGTATAAAAACATTCATTGAAATGATAATTATAAGCAAAACTGTTCTACTCTGCATCTTCATATTTACAGATTTTAAATTTAAAAAACAGAGTAAAGAAAGAGTAGAAGCAATAAAATAGCTGAAATAAAAATAAAAAAGCAATTTTTTCTCATTTTTTCTGCAGAATTACATTCGAAAGATACTTTTCTTGTTCATCAGAAAGGAGAGAAATACTCATTTGTCTGTTCTCATTTCGAAATAAAAAATAATAAAAATTCTTAAATCACAGAAGTTAAAAAGATAATTCGCTCTAGAAATGATGTTTTTTCTTTCATTTTTTGAAAGATCAACAAAATTTTTAAAGAAAATGATAAAGATATATTATATTCTAATAAAATATGACTCTCAGAAGTGATTTTGTAAGGAATTCAGATATTTAGAACAGGATGAAATTGAGGGGGAGGAGGGAGGATTACCTTTCAAAAAATTAGATTTTAGGCAACCTAAATCCATGACTTTCCATGATTTTTTAAAAAAATAGAGAAAATCATGACATTTCATGACAAATTTTGTTCAACACTGAAATTCATGACTTTCCAAGTGTGATATATATGTATGAGCTTATAAATAGTATGAGATATTTTTCAACCTTTTTTAAAGAAAACCTTTCATGGTTTCTTAAAAATAGAATTCAAATAATTTGAACAGGATTCATACACAAAAGAAGAAATTTTTTCCGACCTTTCAGAGTAAATATAGAAAATTCCAGTTATAAATAAAATTACTTAATATGAATGTAGTTCTATGTATAACTATTAATATATTTGTGCATATATATTGTCAACAATAAATACAAATATTATATAGTTAACTGATTTCGTATATTCAATAAAATTATTCTATATACAAAAATATTATGAGTTTGCAGATACTTTTGGATTGTGTACACAGATACTTTAAGTTTATTATCTTACTATGAGTCTATGGAAATAATGTTAAATCCAGTTCGAATGATTATTTTCTAACAAAATAACAGCAAACAAAATAATTATTTTACTTACTCATGCTTCTTCATTTCAATATAATTGCTCGGAATGAGACCTTCTTTAGCTTCTAATTCTGCTCTGTACCAATTCATATCATCTTCCATATTTAAAACCTAAAAATGCACAAAAATAACTTCACCCAGATATTAAATTTAATACAGGAATAATAACATTACACAATAGTATTCATAAAAATGTAAGTTTTAATTTTTATAAAGCAAGATTTAAGAGAGGCCCCATTAACACAGGCGTCACATCGCAAATATAAAAAACTTTTATTAGATATTATCTAAAAACTATCCGTAATCTCACAAAATTAATAACTTTTGTTGATAAATATTCTCAGGACTGATACAAATATTTCTACATAAAAAAAAGCTTATAAAATTTAACTTAAATTCCCTTTAGCATTAAACAATTTCTTTTTTAAAAATAAGATAAATGTTAAACAGGAAGATTTCCGAATATTATGTATGTCTATTATAATAAAAAAGAAGCATAACAATCTCAAGTATCATGAATATGCTATTTAATTAATAATAACATAAATTCTCTGTTTTGATAAATCTTAAATCGAAATATTTACACAGCTTTTTTAGTTCCTATTCTATATAAAAATTCAGAAATCAGAATTTTTTTTTCTAACCTGCAACTGTCACATCAAATATTAGACAATAGTTTTTGAACTGAAGTGCAATTGAGTTCAACAACTAAAAATTCAAACATAGATTTTTTCATGAATATGAGTAAACTATAATAGAAATATTAGGATTGGATATTTTGGACAAATCTTTAAAACATCAACACATTTCTGCACCATTTTTATAAATGTCTTAAATATATCATATATTATGATATTCAATTGAAAATAAATGTAATATTTATATCTCATATCCACATTAAATTGTATCAACAAACCCTGCATGTTTCAGGATATTTTTTTCTTAAAAATGTAATTATTGACTAATCTCCTTAATGATTATTAATAAATAATAATAAATGAATAATTTAAAAATCTATTTAATTTCCTTTTATGTCGATCAGTGCACTGAATGCAATAACAAAGTTCATCAAAGTCAAGTGGTCAATGAGTAGGTGGATGAAGGGAGTGAGCGAAACCTGTCCTCAAATTCAAAATTACAATGGCAATCTGCTTCCTAGACTATCAGTCCATCGAGTGCTGACGTAAAATTTCTCAGTGGTAGACGGATGGATTAGAGTCCTCTTGCCATCAGGATAAGTGAGGGAGGTTTTCTTCTCCATGTAATGCAAAGGTGGGTTAGTTGCATCAAAAAATCCTGCACAAAGGCAAATTTCTCCCAATATTTGATCCGGGAGTTCCCTTGTCTTCTGGATTGGGTTCAAAATGAAGAGGCTACGGAGTTGAAGTAGTAGCCGTAAACCCAAAATTGGATCGGCTGTTCAACGACGTTTATAAAAAAAAATAGCACATTGTGCAATGTAAATAAAATACAATTATTACTACAACTAATAATCTGTTAGTTTAAATCAAAAATAATTCTCGTCTAAATATAAAATTAGACTTTTAATTTCTATACTACTTTCCTGGAAATAAAAAACAGTATTGTTATTAAAAAATACATTATGGCCTTAAAAACAGTCATAAAATTAACATGCATAAAAAACTATACATATAATTTTTATACATAATAAATTATATCATAATATGGATTGCCAATCCGGATTCTTGGAAAAATTTCTTTTAGAAGAAGTTTTGTATGAAAGGCCACTTTTATCTAGCTCCCATGTGGTGAGATTTTTAAAATATTTGCAAAACTAAGAAATAATTCAGAGAGTTTTTAACTGCCTACCACTTTATAAAATATTTAGCTAAAACCATAGTAGTTAGCAGCCCTGTATATTAATAGATAACAATTCTGTACAGAATGCTGAAGACATTTTGTTAATATGTACAAAATTACGAGTTGCATAGAATACATATTATGCATAGATGATTAAATTATGTATAGAAAATTAGAAAAACTGTTTATGCACAATTGTAAATTTATACAATGTTAATATTATACATGTTCTAAATATTTACTGCAAAGTTTATTAAAAAATTAACACTATTTACCACTCTGTAATAAATGCCAAACACTGATTTAAATACATTTTTCTTTTCAATTAAAAAAGAAGAAATGTTGTTTGATTAACTATTAATATCTCTTTCGCTTGATTCATTGTTTAATGAGTAACTCAAGATAAAAGCAATTTTAACAAATGAGCTATTTAACGTACCTTAAGGACTTGTCCTTTTCTAAAACTGAGCTCGTCATCGGCAGTAGCATTAAAATCGTGTTTGGCTATTGCTTCCATTTTTCAATTGAATAAATTAGGAGAATTAATATTTAAACAAATTGTCACGAATATAAAAATGTCAATATCAGGCGTCAATTATGAATATCTGCGATAGGGAAATAAATAAACAGGCAAGTTGTTTATACAAAAATAAAGGATCAAAAAGACAGTTGCGTGAAAAACATGTTGAAGAAATGTAAAATATGCATATTCTTCAAACAGGGAGAATCCACCTGTCTGATAAAAAGTTTCTCTCCTTAGAAGAGTTACAGATGATAACAGACGAGAGTCAAAAATAGATCAATTCGAGTTAGGTCGCCGCCCTTCACTAAATCCCAATACGGAATTTGATTTCAAATATAGTTCACAATATAATACAATTTCAAAGTACACTGACGCCCACAACATATAAATATGTGTTCAAACTTTACTGCTTTTAATCGATCCTCACAAAATTGAAGCAATAAACAATATATAATAGCGGATTGACACACCTTTGATGCAATAACAAAAATATATAAACAATTTTATATAAAATAAAAAAACTCTCTCTTCTACTACAATATTATCTTACATTACAAAATTATAAGAAAATTTAAATAGATTGAGATGATCAAATACCAGTTAAATATCGATTTGTCGGTTTTTAATTAAGACAATATATCGAACTATATTTCAACAGAGGAAGCATATTTGGATCGCTCTTACTGCACTGCGACAACAAAACTCTACGCAAAGTAAATAAATGCTGAAAAAGAAAAAAGTCGGGAAATCCCAGAAAGGAAAGATAGTTGAAATGAGTAATAATTGCTAAAACTTTGCTTTGTCGAGACCCGTCGAATATGTAAAATTGAATTAAGAAGTCATTTTGAAAGATATGAGACTGATAATGCAAACAGGATAGGTGTCCACACATTTGATTTTGTTTTAAATATCAAGTCTCTCTTGTCTCAGAACCGAAATTTTATATGGTTGGAAAAGCAAAGATCATTTTCTTTCAACTAAGTAATGTCCCGCGAACATTTTGCGAATGGGAATACGCGTAACGCACATAGCTTATTCTTGACACGCTTTTCTTTTAGTTAGACAATGTTTATTTTATAGAAATAGATTTTCATTAGTAAAACTAATCCAACACCCATGATAAATTCCGAATTTCTGATTGAAGAGAGGGTTGTTGTTGTTGTAGTTCATTTACGAGGCACTAGAGCTGCATAGTGGGCTATTGGCGACGGTCGGGGAAACATTTCTGAGGATGATCACAATTTTGATCCACTGCACAGAGGATGGCACTCCCGCTTCGGTAGCCCGACGACAATTGAAGAGGCGGAATTGGAAATCTGAATGGTGCAATTGACCGATAAAGCTAAAGTGAGGATGGCCCTTCATCATTTCAATTTCAGAGCTGTGGTCAGGTTTGGAAACCGTCATGAGCTGGGATCCTCTTGGCGGATTTTTGTCGTAGAAGAAAAACGAATTGAATTATCTTTATCACACAATCGCTTTTAAACTTTTCTTTAAATTCTGTTTGCAATCAGACTTTTGTATAAGAACTTACGCAGATAGCAAAATAAGGTTTCCCAGAAAGCATGTAACCTTACGACAACCTTGAGTTTTAACTTTACTTTCATTGTTACGAAAAGGTTTGCGGTAAAAACCTTTTTTCAATGACGTAAAAATATTGCAATTTCCAACCTTTCCTCCTTTTAAGGAAAACTAAATGATTTTTAAATCTTTTTTTAAAAATATTGTTATTTAGGTTAAAAAACAAGCAAATTGTAAACCTTATTTTTTGCATTTTTGTTTGCTGTCATGATTAGATTAGCAGAAATATTAAGCGAAAACCTTTTACAAAGGAAACGAAATAAAGCAAATATTAACTTTTTCAACGAAAATATTAATAAATAATAAGAAAATATTTTGCAAAGGGCCTCATTTAAAGGAAAGCATATAAACGAGCATAAGACCATGATTTTGGATTGTTTTTTTAAAGTCTGCGAAAGTACAATACGAAAACTTTCTTTGAAAGGTTTCTCGACACAAGTATAAGTAATAGTTCTTTTTTAGAAACTTTTCATTCGATCAATCTCATTGAAATAATAAATAAAATTTGAATCTGGAGTTTAAAATTGACTCTTCAATATTTTGTTACATATTTTTTTTCCTTCTCGAATTTGGCTTTAGGGGTCCTATGCGTTGCGGATCCTTTATAATGTGGGGCCTTCTCTCGTTCATTTTAACTTATTGCAAATCTAATTATGGTATAGCAATAAAATATTCGCGCGAAGAGAATTTTATTTAAAATATTTATGTGCAGAAAAAATTCGCCCAACAGTCTATTGTGAGCTAGAGGGTCATCGATATTAAGACTCCACGATTTATGACTAACGAGGAGTGGTGGTGAAAATAAAATCAGCATTGTGCACCTACCGCCTTTATTTCCCTGACAAGCTGGTACCCGCTCTACAGCAGGGTGGATTCAAAACCTTAACCCACAGTTTTTTTCATCTTATCTTTAAAAACATTTCGTTCACAGAACTAGATGTATAGTGTACAAAATAAAAGCCAGACCACCCTGAATAGATTTTGATCTAATGATTGAATTTTCACGTTTTATAAATCAATCTTAATATACCAAACAATCATACCAAAGAGAATTTTTATACACTATTTAGGGGGCACATAAAGAACCAAAACAGATTTTGTTAATTAACCGGAAGGAAGTTTTTTAAGCTACATATTCGTGAAGCAACGTGTGAGTCGTGGTGTGGT